GCCGTGGGCCGGGCACGCGCGGGGCTACTACGTGGACTGGAGGATGCTGCGCGACGTCAAGAGGCGCAGGCTGGCTTATGAGTACGCGGACGAGAGGCTGCGGATCAACGCGCTCCGAAAAAACAACATCCTGCCCAAAGAGCTGCAGGTAACGTCCCCGGGACCCGGACCCCATGGCCGCAGGCTCCCCCTTCTGCAGCGGGGCGAGCTGTGGGCTCTGTCTGGGTGGGGGAGGAAGCAGCTCCACACACTGCTGTTCCCCCTCTCCTGGTTGGGGCATGGCAGCAGGGAAGCTCTGTCCCTGCACTTGCTTTCAGGCTCCACCCTGGTTGCTCCCCGAGCCAGACAGGGGATTTGGGTACCTGCCTCCTCCCACCCGACCCCACAGCCTGCTCCTGCAGATCTGCACTTGAAAGGGAATCCTCCGAACTGTCATTCATGCTAAAATTCGACACTCTACGTGGGGTCTCAACAAAGACTCTAGCTCTCTTACCCATTACAAAGATAGCTTCCCCAATTATCATCTCTAATACCATTAGCTCACAGACATTTACCCTCCCCCTGCCGCAACCCCCTTCTGTTCTGAAATTTGATTTGTCCTTTTCATATGTGTTCATTTTTTTTAATTGTATCCTTTGGTATATAGGGTTGACTATTTTCTTCCACTATTTGATCTGAGGAAGTGGGTCTGGCCCCCAAAAGCTCATCATCTAATAAACCATCTTGTTAGTCTTTAAAGTGCTACACAGTCCTGTATTTTGTTTCAGCTACCCCAGACTAACACGGCTACATTTCTATCACTATTCTGTACGTCCTGGCTGACTTCTGCTCCCTTGCTACTTTAAAACCTTAGACCGTGATCCTGCAAAGCCTTACCCATATGGTTAATCTCAAATAGCCCTATTGAAATCAGTGGGACTACTTACCTACATGCACTATTAAAATGGGGCATTTATAAGTCTTTCCAGTAGGGATATAAAAGCACATTTAAGCTGGGGATGCTCCAGGTCCCACATGAGGCTGCCAGCTCCCAGCCCGCATGGGGCCAGCGGAGCCGCTTCTGCGCAGGGCTATCAGCTCTCAGCCTGCGGGGGCCCAGCGGAACTAGAGCAGCCTTCTACTCGCAGTGGGCCATGGGTGCAGGGCTACTCCCTGGGTACTGGTTAATTGTTATCCGTTAAGCATCACCTGTTAAGGTTGTTGCTTACTGGGTAACCAGTTACCCATTAACATCCCTATTTTCCAGAAGGACTTTTAGGTAGACATTGAGTGCTTCTTCCACAATCTCTTCTGACACTGGGTCCCTGCAAGAACTGTTCTGCTTGCTGTAGGTCTCTCTCTCTGATTGAGTAGACTCCTTTATCTGCCTGGGAGCCTCTCAGCTGATGAGTAGGGATACAAAGAAGTTTAAGTAACCATTACAAATCTTAGTGGTTACACATGCTGCAGGCTCTGCAATATCTGAGCCCGCAGAGCAAGGCAGCAGCCTGGAGCTGGTGCATGTTGGGAGCTGGCTGATAAGCTGGTTCCTGGCTGCTAGCCCTGCTCCCAGGGAGCTGGCTGCTGCAGAACTTGCATTATAGCCAACTTCTCAGGAGCAGGACCAGTAGCTGATGCACTCCAGAAGCCAACATATAAGGAGCCAACATATAAGTTGGCTACGGGTGCTCACTGGCTGTCAGGATGCACTACGGGGTCTGCAGAGCGGGGTATCAGCTGGCTCCCAGGAGCATGGCTGGCAGAAGAGTTTAACCACAACCAATAGGCAGATGCTTATCAGTTAATCATGTACATTCCTACTACTGGTGAGGCAGCTAACATGAAACAGATGGGCCCAACTCACTCGCCCTTCCTTCTGTTGCAGGAAATAGCAGATAAAGAGATTGCTGCTCTGCCACGTGACAGCTGCCCTGTGAGGATCCGGAACAGATGCGTGCTGACATCCCGTCCCCGAGGTGTGAAGCGGCGCTGGAGGCTTAGTCGAATTGTTTTTCGCCATCTGGCTGACCACAGTCAGATGTCCGGGATACAGAGAGCTATGTGGTAAAATCACACCCAGGACTTGTTTGCTTAGCCAAGGAGAGGCAGATGGGGCCAGCTCTTGCATTCCTGACAAATCAAGACTATCCTTTGTTTAAAATCAGCATAAATGTACCAGAACAAGTAGGGGAAGGGAGTAAAGAGGAGTCATTTCAGTTGCCGGGATACCACTGAGAGGGACTGCTACACATTGAATGGCAAAGAAAGGGGTAGAGAAGAGTAGGAATGTACCAAGCCAGGCTGTGCAAGAGACAGTTTTATTTTGACATGAAGAGTAACTACTCTGTTAGGCTGAGCTGCAATTTGTAATGTAAAGCAACATCTAATTAAAAACAAGTTACAGTACAAGAGTTGTTCAGTAATTCTGGTTCACTCTTTACATTCAGGTTGCAATGACCTCTTTGATCAAAAGTTATTTGATCAAAAGTACCACTACAAATTAGTAATCGCACCATACAGCAGGTAAGTGTGCTGCAGTACATTGGAAGAGAAGCTCTAACTACTGTAGCCAAATAGCTGAAAGTATGCACCTGTCAGTTTAGATATTTGTAGACAATACGGCTATGTCTACACTTGCAGCTCCTTGTGTGAGTAATATGCATATGAGACTAAGCGTAGAATACCACCGAGCACAACATCCTGCCCAAAGAGCTGCAGGTAACGTCCCCGGGACCCGGACCCCATGGCCGCAGGCTCCCCCTTCTGCAGCGGGGCGAGCTGTGGGCTCTGTCTGGGTGGGGGAGGAAGCAGCTCCACACACTGCTGTTCCCCCTCTCCTGGTTGGGGCATGGCAGCAGGGAAGCTCTGTCCCTGCACTTGCTTTCAGGCTCCACCCTGGTTGCTCCCCGAGCCAGACAGGGGATTTGGGTACCTGCCTCCTCCCACCCGACCCCACAGCCTGCTCCTGCAGATCTGCACTTGAAAGGGAATCCTCCGAACTGTCATTCATGCTAAAATTCGACACTCTACGTGGGGTCTCAACAAAGACTCTAGCTCTCTTACCCATTACAAAGATAGCTTCCCCAATTATCATCTCTAATACCATTAGCTCACAGACATTTCCCCCCCCCCTGCCGCAACCCCCTTCTGTTCTGAAATTTGATTTGTCCTTTTCATATGTGTTCATTTTTTTTAATTGTATCCTTTGGTATATAGGGTTGACTATTTTCTTCCACTATTTGATCTGAGGAAGTGGGTCTGGCCCCCAAAAGCTCATCATCTAATAAACCATCTTGTTAGTCTTTAAAGTGCTACACAGTCCTGTATTTTGTTTCAGCTACCCCAGACTAACACGGCTACATTTCTATCACTATTCTGTACGTCCTGGCTGACTTCTGCTCCCTTGCTACTTTAAAACCTTAGACCGTGATCCTGCAAAGCCTTACCCATATGGTTAATCTCAAATAGCCCTATTGAAATCAGTGGGACTACTTACCTACATGCACTATTAAAATGGGGCATTTATAAGTCTTTCCAGTAGGGATATAAAAGCACATTTAAGCTGGGGATGCTCCAGGTCCCACATGAGGCTGCCAGCTCCCAGCCCGCATGGGGCCAGCGGAGCCGCTTCTGCGCAGGGCTATCAGCTCTCAGCCTGCGGGGGCCCAGCGGAACTAGAGCAGCCTTCTACTCGCAGTGGGCCATGGGTGCAGGGCTACTCCCTGGGTACTGGTTAATTGTTATCCGTTAAGCATCACCTGTTAAGGTTGTTGCTTACTGGGTAACCAGTTACCCATTAACATCCCTATTTTCCAGAAGGACTTTTAGGTAGACATTGAGTGCTTCTTCCACAATCTCTTCTGACACTGGGTCCCTGCAAGAACTGTTCTGCTTGCTGTAGGTCTCTCTCTCTGATTGAGTAGACTCCTTTATCTGCCTGGGAGCCTCTCAGCTGATGAGTAGGGATACAAAGAAGTTTAAGTAACCATTACAAATCTTAGTGGTTACACATGCTGCAGGCTCTGCAATATCTGAGCCCGCAGAGCAAGGCAGCAGCCTGGAGCTGGTGCATGTTGGGAGCTGGCTGATAAGCTGGTTCCTGGCTGCTAGCCCTGCTCCCAGGGAGCTGGCTGCTGCAGAACTTGCATTATAGCCAACTTCTCAGGAGCAGGACCAGTAGCTGATGCACTCCAGAAGCCAACATATAAGGAGCCAACATATAAGTTGGCTACGGGTGCTCACTGGCTGTCAGGATGCACTACGGGGTCTGCAGAGCGGGGTATCAGCTGGCTCCCAGGAGCATGGCTGGCAGAAGAGTTTAACCACAACCAATAGGCAGATGCTTATCAGTTAATCATGTACATTCCTACTACTGGTGAGGCAGCTAACATGAAACAGATGGGCCCAACTCACTCGCCCTTCCTTCTGTTGCAGGAAATAGCAGATAAAGAGATTGCTGCTCTGCCACGTGACAGCTGCCCTGTGAGGATCCGGAACAGATGCGTGCTGACATCCCGTCCCCGAGGTGTGAAGCGGCGCTGGAGGCTTAGTCGAATTGTTTTTCGCCATCTGGCTGACCACAGTCAGATGTCCGGGATACAGAGAGCTATGTGGTAAAATCACACCCAGGACTTGTTTGCTTAGCCAAGGAGAGGCAGATGGGGCCAGCTCTTGCATTCCTGACAAATCAAGACTATCCTTTGTTTAAAATCAGCATAAATGTACCAGAACAAGTAGGGGAAGGGAGTAAAGAGGAGTCATTTCAGTTGCCGGGATACCACTGAGAGGGACTGCTACACATTGAATGGCAAAGAAAGGGGTAGAGAAGAGTAGGAATGTACCAAGCCAGGCTGTGCAAGAGACAGTTTTATTTTGACATGAAGAGTAACTACTCTGTTAGGCTGAGCTGCAATTTGTAATGTAAAGCAACATCTAATTAAAAACAAGTTACAGTACAAGAGTTGTTCAGTAATTCTGGTTCACTCTTTACATTCAGGTTGCAATGACCTCTTTGATCAAAAGTTATTTGATCAAAAGTACCACTACAAATTAGTAATCGCACCATACAGCAGGTAAGTGTGCTGCAGTACATTGGAAGAGAAGCTCTAACTACTGTAGCCAAATAGCTGAAAGTATGCACCTGTCAGTTTAGATATTTGTAGACAATACGGCTATGTCTACACTTGCAGCTCCTTGTGTGAGTAATATGCATATGAGACTAAGCGTAGAATACCACCGAGCCTCATTTGCATACCTAATGAGCCACCGTTTTTTTCAGAAGAGGCTCTTGCGCAAGAAGGAGCGTCTACATTGCCCCTTCTTGGGCAAGAAAAACCCTCTTGCGCAATGCCGTTACACCTATTACTTTTCAGGAAGAATGGCATTGCGCAAGAGGGTTTTTCTTGTGCAAGAAGGGGCAGTGTAGACGTTCCTTCTTGCGCAAGAGCCTCTTTTGGGAAAAAAAGGTGGCTCATTAGGTATGCACATGAGGCTTGGTGATATTCCATGCTTAACCTCATTTGCATATTACCCACGCAAGAAGCCGCGAGTGTGGACATAGCCTATATGTTGTTATAACTGGCAGACCAGGTGTGGGTGAAGAGCCCATTAAGCTGAAGGGCAATGGGCTTCCTCTCCCTGCACAGGTAAGGAGTTGGATACATGACCTAGATCACAACAGCACCATCTGCCCTAGGAGTTAGGTGAGCTAACACCATCTGTTATCTCTGCTTTGAAATGCAGCAGCAGAGAGCTGCTGCCTCTTGCAGTCAGAGGCAGTGTAATGTTGCAGTGTGTATTCAGCTTCCCTTCCCTGCTGTAGCCTATGGGAAAGGACAGTGGCACCGAGAGGGGCTGCACTAGGGAGCTAGTCACAGCCTGTGGCCTTCTGTACCCTCACACTGAAAAGGAATACACTGTTGTAGACCATGTTTGCAGAGGTCGTCCTCACCACTGTGGTGAAGCAGTGATAGTGAATTTGGCAGTAGCCTCTATATTCAGGGAGACAGTTTGAGGTGCAGGGGATCCTAGCCTCCTTCCTATTCTGGGATGCTGTCTCCATCCCTCACATCACTGGGAGAAGGGTGTTTGAGCCTTTTTTCTCTTTACGCACATTCTGCCAAGAGTCCTACAGAGGCTCTGGTTCTAAAGCAGCAGCAGGTGCAGTGTCCTACCCCTAATATGGGAAGCTACAATGAGCTCCACAGGAACCAGTATGGGGACTGAGACTTGGTTCTGCTGGCCTATGGGCTCCTCATCACCTCAAAGCAGAGTGCAAAGAAGTCAGCAGTTGTATTGTCCTCTGGTAGACAGCACCACTTTCTAACAAAAGGGCATCACGGTTATAGCAACTTACTGGCTTGACGCAGACCCTTCCCATCAAAGGTCAAAAAACTTTAAAGGGTAGAGAGTGATTAAGCTTGTCTAGTGTTAGTCCAGACATTGTTCTTGCATGTTCCCTTTCTATGGCTACTGACTACACTGCTGTTACCCGGCTAGGTCTCCTGCCCTTTGGGAAGGCAGTGGAAAGAATGGGTGGATTACGGATAAGATGGTCACATTCAGCTTTTCCTGGGGATACTCAAGCAATTCTCTTGACTAGCAACAGGTATTTGCTCAGCCCACTTTCTACAGGCCTCCTACTATTCTTCTTAGAACAGTAGGTAAGAGCTTATTTTCAGCTCAGTGAGCCAGTAAGTAAAGTTAAAGATGCAAATTCCATTCCTACAATTAAACTGTTTTCAGCTCAGTGAGCCAGTAAGTAAAGTTAAAGATGCAAATTCCATTCCTACAGTTAAACTGTCTTCAGCAATCTCAACATGCCTGTCCTTTTGAGGTCTGAGAGTTTCCCCTACTTCCTGAATGTAAAGTTGCTCAGGCTGGATTAATACACAGCAACAGGCAGCCAAGTGACATGTTGACAAACACACAACAGCAGTTAAGGGTTTTTTCCCTTTTACAATTTTTCCATAATTGTCAGTTTCACAAATGTTTCAGATGAGCAGACCAATTAAAAGCTCTTTGGCAGGGAAGCGATACAAATACTTCCTACTCTTCTGGGAAGAGGAGGAACCCACTCAACAGAAATAAATGCTTTACATGTATATTTTATTTAAATATTTTCTCCAACCTGAAATGGGAAACAGGTGTGTGTCTTTGCTTGGAAGAAGGATGTGTAAACAATGCACTTGTAGAACTGATCTCTGCAGCACAGCAAAAGTCTCATATGGAAGGTCCATATCAAAGCAGCCTTTGGAGAAGTTTCAAATATCTAATGGTATATCCCCTTTGCCTTGTTTCTCTCTGCTTTCAACCCAGGCCTTGTTAATGGTTCTTTTCATCTCATCATCTCCCTCTGCATACATCTTTTTCAGAAGGTTCATCAGCCCCTCTCCAGGGTCTGAGGTGTCATATGAGGCTTTCCTGTAAGACAGGTTAAAATGCATGAAATAAGTTTATCATTGTATTATTTGTGTCATGATGTCTACAAGCCTCAGTCATTTATAACAATTCTCTGCAGCATTTTGCTTTGGGTTTTAGAAAAGGGTGTTTATGGCGTCTCAAGGTGAGTTCTCTGTTTGAGCTCTCCCAATAAAGGGAGAGGGCAGGAGAGCACAGGAAGAACCTTGTAGAGGGCACTAGGGTTTGAAATAGGTGTAGATTAGGTTCATGGAAATGGTAGCTAAATATAGCACTGGATTCAGGAAGTACCAAAAATCAATGTCTGCTGTTACCATGAAATCAATGCCCCAGATCACTAAATCAGCTTCCTACCAATGTGACAATCCTGAAGTATCCCTGCCTATTACATCTGTTAAGCCACCTGGCACCTTAAAACAGGTTTCACTGCCAAAGGATAAATGGGCATATACTTTGACTTATTTGGTCATCTTATTTGTCAGCTGACTATCATCAGAAATATAACCATAAGCACTTACATTGCTCTCACTGGCAAGCAGAGGGGGAACTGCCCCGCCCCATGGCTTCTGCCGTCATCTTGCCTCTAGTACTGTATGCAAGGAGTTTCAATTAGCAGAAGAGCCAACTAAAAAGCCAAGGGTTGAACCAAGATGTTTGACCAGCAGGGGGAGCAAGTCCCCCAGGTGCAGGACTCGATGCTGAGAGCCAGTGTCCAAAAGTTGAGCCCAAGCGCTTGTCTCCAATATTGCCAGGATCTACTGTGCTATGGCGATTGGCCACCAATTGCTCAGACATACATTCCGATGCTCCAACTGGAACAAGAGGAGTAAGGGAGTTTCTCCTGTCGACCTAGCGAGGTGTGGACCCTGCAGTAAGTAGGTCTAAGCTACATTGACCGGAGTTATTCTACTAATGTAACTCAAACTATATAGTTTAGCTCTTCTTGAATTTGTAGTATAGACCTGTATAGATCAGCTGGGACCGTGACAGTGTCCTGCATCTTTTGACTTATGAGATATGGATGCAGAAGGAAGGTAGTTTTGATCTGAACCCAAATTTTGTAGCTAGGTCCAATGGATTTGCTGGGAATGCCAACAAGGTCCCATTTTATTTCTCCATAATGCAGAGCTACAAAGGAGGGACCAAAAAATACCTCAGACCATCACCAACAGGGATAGGGAAAATTCCACTACCTCCTGCAGGGTAAAAGCCTCTAAGAGCACGCAGTCCCATTTACAGCAGCTCATATTCAGCAATACTGCCTCCAAGCAGTGCTGCTTCTAATTTCTTCCATCTATGAATAGAATACATCCTATGTGCACTCTCAAATGTGCTATTTGCCCCACCAGTAGAAACAACAAACCAAGATTTTTTTTTTAAAGTTACCATGTGAATAATTGCTCAGGACAGGAATTTTAGAACTCAAAGAATTAAATTCAAGTGCAAGAGAAATACAAATTATGAAATGCACAGAACAGTGAAAACACTAAAATGACACTTTCAAAAAATGAATTTAGAGATTATGTGCATTGTAAGAAGTACTAAGTAGTAACTATACTACAGGTATGTGTTGGGAGGTGAGTGTGACAGATGAGCATGAGAGAGAAAAAGAGAATATGCTTATCAGTTAAACCGCCCAGCTGGGGAGTTTGGCTGTGCCCCCTCTCCCTATTAACTGTGGTCTCTGCAGGCTCTATCCCAGGGTCTTTGCAGTCAGCCAGCTGCCCCCAGCTCCGGGCAGTTTAGGAGCTGGCAGGCTCAGTCCAGGCACACACTGGGTCCTAACTGCCAGCCTCTCTCTCAGGGAGTTGGCTGCCTTCCGCTGCAGGTTCTGCTATTTAACTTGGAATGGCCAGCTCCGTCCTAGCAAGCGCAGAGTCCTGGCAGCCAGCCCTGCTCCCAGAGAACCAGCCACCTACCCTTTGTGCTCACAGGGCTCTGCCAGCCCCACTCCTGGAGCGCTAATTGCTTCATGCTGTGGACTCCATGGTTGGCAGGTTCCTGGGTCCCTTTCTCGGGGTCCTAGGCCAGCCAGTGTTCCTTCTAATTTTTTCCATCCATGAGCAGATTCAATTTTGGTGTGCAATATGTGCACCAATATTGAGATCTTGTGGCATGTATCCTCACGTTTATAAACAAAAAAAGTGCGTAGATATGGAAGAATATTAAAACAAGGCATAATTAACAAGGTCACTGCTAAGATATTTAATATGAAAACAAAAAAAATAATTAACACTGCCCTTGGAGTACATGTATTTTATCATCCTTTCTAACATCTCAGGCTGGTAAACACTCCCAAATGTGGCACACACAAAACAGCTATATAAAGAAAGGCATAGCCATTAGTGAAAGCAGAAAACTAAGCAGCAGAGGCCCAATTTAATAATAACCTTCTCCTACTAGACCTACTACCAAATCTTCAGGGGAAATGTCTTACAAAATAAAGCATCTGCCAAAGTAGCACTATGCTATGGATTCTGCAGTTCACAAAATCACACGTATTATCTGAACATAGCTTTATGATGCTGAAAAACACATCTGAGTCAACTAAAAATATCAGGCCCACCTCGCAAATACCAATACAATATTTTCTGATACTGGAAGGAGTACAAAAGTCACTCATAGGTTTATACAATTTGTAAGGGATATCAGCTCAATATTTCACCCACAGAAATCAGTAAAAATAAATACAGTAAGTAATACAGAAAGCAAGCAAACACCACCAAGGAAAATAAAACAAATGGTCGGTTATGTGTATTTGAAATGTGCAAATGCTGCAAAGCCCTGTACAAAAAGGCAAAGTTTTCCTGGTTTCACACTGTTTCACCAACTTGAAAAAAATCAGAGTACGCTCATTACATTTTAACTCTTCCCTCCCCACGCCCTAAAGGAAACAGAGCATTTAACACATGGCTTTGAGGTTGCATCCCTCAAATATTGGAATAAATTGCCAAGGGAAGTGGTGGAATCTCCCTCTCTGGAGATATTTAAGAACAGGTTAGATAGACATCTGTCAGGGATGGTATAGACGGAGCTTGGTCCTGCCTTGAGGGCGGGGGGCTGGACTCGATGACCTCTCGAGGTCCCTTCCAGTCCTATGATTCTATCCCTGCATCCCAGAGCTTGCAAATAAGGTCTTCATCCCGCAAGCACAACACTAAACCTAGTGCTTCTTTCTTATGAGTCACTGAGCTACTCTGAAGAACTGGAACTACACGTGATCTAGTGCCTGTCCCCAAACAAATAGTAAAACCTAATGGAAATCACTTGTCTGGAATCCAAGCGGTTTCCATTAAGTTTTAGAAATGATTTGGGAGGAGGCATCTCTCCTGGTCAGTGCCAGTGCAGCCAGGCTCAGTCAGACTTGACAGGTTAAAAATACAAGACTTATTTTTTAAAGAAATCCAACAGTTACTGGAGTTCTTCTCCAGCCAGAATTTGTCTGTCTCCTCCTAGCCCTGCTGGGGCTTAAAGGGAATCCCCCCCCTCTTCCTGCTGCCCAGTGCAGCTGGAGCTCAGACTTTCAGTTTCTCCCAGTTCCCAAAGCCCAGGTGGGCTGAAATGGAGGTAGACTGTCTTCTCCCTGCTGCCTCAGTACAGCTGAAGCTCACAATTCCAGGCCAGCTGGGGCTGCATGGAGTGGAATGCTCCTCTGCCTGCCAGCTGCAGCAGGGATTTCCCTGGCTGTCCAAGGCAGCCTGGCTGGGAGTGGGACATCCCAAACCCCACCTGACCCATCAATTTTCCCCACCTCTGCTCACTTTCCACACTTCTTTAGGGTCCTCAAAGGCACCTAATTAGTGGAACCAAAGCCATGCCTGCCATCAATTAGACGCGTGGCCTTTCCTTTCCTCTTCTACGGGTACGCAAGCGTGCTCTCGACAGGGAACTATGGTCCCTGCTGCTAGCCCCGGATCCCTTCCAGGTGTACCTGGCATTTCAGCTTGGCCGTGTTTGCACCTGCACTACAGATGTTCCAGTGCCAAGGGCTCACAATGAATCAGCCACACCTATGTATTCAAATGCCTTTATTAACAAGAAAAACAGCCCAGCCTTGTGTGTGAAAATTAAACTAACTTTTTAAACTTTGCTCATTGTATCCCTGAGCTGTCCAAAGCCCAACACGTCAGATTACTCTTTCAATTCTACTGCTTATTTTTGTTAAGAAAAATTAACATGTTGACATGCTCTGGTGTCAGTCTGGAGCGGAGCCGATTAACAGTCAGGCCAGCGTTAGAAAACACACGTTCTGCAGGCACAGATGTTCCGGGAATGCACAGGTAACTGTTTGCCAGTTTCGCAAGTCGTGGAAAGCGCTGGCCATTCATCTTCCACCACTCCAGTGGACTGCTTTCCAAGGAAAGGCAAGGCTCCCTGAAGTAATCTTCCAGTTCTTTTTCCACAGCGTCCTCATTCTCCTTTTCCGTGTAACCTTCACCTAGAAGCATCACTATGGCACTCGTCTTTTTCTTCAGTGGTGGCTCTTCCAGCTCATCTGGCTCGGCACCTCGCAGTTCAGCTCCAGCACTTGGAAGTTCTTCTATTTCTAATCTGGATGCAAGCTCTAGAAGCTTTGCCTTAGCAGCAACCTGGACAACCGGTGAAAGAAACCGCAGGTGTTTATGGCGTGGATCTAACAAGGAGGCAATAAGTGCTGGTTTGCCAGTTATTTCAGGATCACTGGGTGTCATGTGGCGCTCCAGAGAACAACTAACAGCACTCTTGAAGGCAGTGACAGTTGCGTTTTCAGCAGAAGCTTCGCTTTTGAGGTGAGTTTGGAGAAGACTGTTGCAAATTGGATAAATATTGGAAATTAAAGCTGACTGTTCAGCAGACATGACAGTTGTTGCGCACTTTAAAGTAGAAAGCACCGGTAAGAGATCCTCTATTAATTGCCAGTGCTCATCTTGCAGCTGAAGCATTCGGGCATCAGACTGTTTTGTTACGTTGCTATCTGAAAGCACAGCTGTTATAGCCCACCTTTGCTCACTGAGTCTTTCGAACATGTCATATACGGAATTCCAGCAAGTTTTAGAGGACTGGATCAGACTGTGTTGATGAACCTGAAGCTGAATTTGTTTTCTTTCCAGTGCTTTTGTGGCCACGGGGCTGTGGTGGAAGTGTGCAACCAGTTTACGAGCAGCTGTAACAGCACATTCCACACGACTGACAGAGAATCCATCACTTATGGCTAGCTGCAAGGTATGAGCAAAACAACTGATGGATTCCCATGCAACATACCTTGGTGTGTTGGCAAGCACAATGTTGCTTGCATTGTCATGTACGCACGCCAGGACACGGCCTGCCAGTCCCCATCTGTCCACTGCAGTATTTAATTTTGCAGCAAGGTTTTCTGCTGTATGTCGTTCTGCGAGACTTTCCGTTTGCAGAACTGAGGATCGAAGCTCCCAATTTTCAATGTAATGACAAGTGATAGTCATGTAGCTTTCTGTAGTTAATGCCGTCCAGCAGTCAGTGGTGAAAGCTACTTGAACAGCTTTGTCCAATTTTTGACGGAGAGACTTCACGCAGGCTTCATAGCACTTTTCTAATCGCAAAGTTATTGTCTGTCTCACAGGCACATTGTATTCTGGTTCTACGAAATTCATCAGTGCACGAAAACCTGAACCCTCAATGACACTCACAGGTAGCATGTCTGTAGTGATCATGGTGCACAACAATTCTGTTAGTTGTTCCTCGCGTTCTGCGGTACATTTTCTTGAATTGCCAGAAATAAACGCTGTCAGCGCTGCTTGATTTCTGCTTTCTGTGTCACATGAAAGAAATGGATGTTTCAGCTTCAAATGGTTGAGCATTGATCCGGTACTCTTTGCATATTTCAGCTCTCCAGAACACAGTTTACATCTAACAGCGTCTTCACTTATTTTTGTGAAATGATTCCAGGCAGCACTCCTTTTTGATCGCTCCATCTTAACTACGCAACCACTGTCACCAAAAATAAAATAAAATAAAACTTAAATGCTATTTGAACTGTGAAGAACACTGGCAAAGTGTCACAAAGTGAACGCTGGCAAAGTATTATTGCTGTATTTTGCCCAGGAAAACAAAGACATGTGGTAGCGGCTTGAAGGTCGCTACCAAAGCGTGAGGGGTGAAGGAATACTTTGGGGGTAGGAAACAAAAGACGTGGTACAAAGGAACTGAAAGGACATTAGCAAAGTGGGGAAGGAATACTTTGAAGGGGAAAACAAAGACATGTGGTAAGAAAGACTTTGAGGGATACTACCAAAGTGTGAGGGAGGTAGGGATATTTTGCACAGGAAGATTAGGGAAGTGCTGACAGCAAAGCTCCAGTAGGAGCCAGCATCCCACATTAAGAACGCTGGCACCAAGACAGGTATACAGGAAACTGATGTCGGCGACTAACAGCAGAACCCCAAGTCCTAGCAGCAGCCAGGACATGGGGCAAGCCAGGAGGCTAACTGCAGGAAAGCAGAGGTAGATGACCAGCAGCAGAGACCCTGTAGCGGGCTGGGATGTTACTGGCAGCAGAACCCACAGCACCAGCTGGAGCCTGGGATCCATGGAGAGGAGCTGGTAGCAGGGGGCCAGTGCATGCAGGGATCCTGCCGCCTCCTAAATTGCAGAGCCCACAATGGGGGGGCAGACGGCTCCCTGAGAGCAGGATTGACTGCCAGGACATGACACATGCCAAGATGGAGCCTGTCTGCTGCTAAACTGCAGCGCCCGCAGCGGGAAGCAGCCAACCAGGAGAGCGGGACCAGTTACCAGGACCCAGTGTGTGCTCCGATGGAACTTGCCAGCTCCTATGGCAGAGCTTGAAGCAAGTTGTACATCCCCAGGCAAAACAAACTTAACCATATAACTGACAGGATATTGAACAGTTACTGTTTTAAACAACTTTTTACATCCCTAGCGTGAAAGAGGCAGACTAAACGTGTGAAAGTGTATGTGCTAGCTTCTGCTAGGCAAGTTTCTCAGAAACCCTTACGTGCTATCGCTTTAAGACACTGAAAGTTGTCCTGCTCTGTTCCTGAGCCCTCATCTCCCCTCCGCTAGTGCAAGAGAGAGAGAGTATGTGTTTGTGAATGTGTGTGAATGAGTGAGACAGACTGTGTAAGCTAGCTGCTGAGCAAAATCTCAGAAACAGCATACACTGCCTCTTTAAGAAAGGCAGGCAGTCACTCACCTTTCAGACTGTAGTAGCTTGGAGTTCTCCCCTGAGTCAGGCTGTGTCCCTCCCCTTCTTTGTAGGACTGAGGACAGGGGCAGGGAAGCACCTTGACATCAGCACTCCCCCTCCTCCCCCCACTCTGCAAAAGGGTCCCTCCTGGGAGCAACTGCAGAACGATCAGCTGGGCAGCATGTGAATCTCTCCTGCATGACTGCACATGTGCACAACTTACAGGGGATATAACCTTCAAGACAGGAACATGTGGCTTGATGAACAGTTAACTTTAAGCCTCTCATTGCTAGTCTTCACCACCACACCTCTTGTACTGCACCAGTCACCAGGTAGCCTATTGAAACCATTTAAGAGTGTACCAAGGGCATCTCACCTGGAGCATTCAAGCAGTAGAAGTGGCATGACTTTAGCAACTCAGTGCAGATTCCTTCCCAGTGCACTAATCATTAGTGCCAAAGGAATCCCCAGACCAAATGATTACTGAGAACAGGGAAATAACTATGAAATAATTCTTAGGCCATAAAAAGAGCTTAAATGCTAGACCCTTAAACCAATAATTCTCACTCCGTAGACGGGAGATGTTAAAGGCACAGTGCACATCCGCTTCCTTTTGTGACACTAATGCAGTTTTGTTAGGGGTGGAGTGAAGGGACACTCACTCTTTTTCCTTGCTCTCTTTTTCCACCTGAGTCAGACAATCCCACTTTTCATCCTGTTTCTTCTTACACAACACAAGGATCATATCCGTCTTGATCTATAAGGGGAGGCAAAGAAAACAAAATGAGACAGTAAGAGGTGAATCCAGGACTTTTACTATAGAAGATAGTTGTTACTTTACTTGTTGGGGATGTATCAGAAGAGAGTCTCGTATTCTATTGCTGAATGCTCATAACTTTCTCAGGGTATGTCTACACTACCCCCCTAGTTCGAACTAGAGGGGGTAAATGTAGTCATACGGAGTTGCAAATGAAGCCCGGGATTTGAATTTCCCGGGCTTCATTTGCATGAAGCCGGCCGGCGCCATTTTTAAATGCCGGCTAGTTTGGACTCCGTGCCGCACGGCTACACGCGGCACGGACTAGCTCGTTCGGATAGGAAGCCTAATCCGAACTAGCTAGTCCGTGCCGCGTGTAGCCGTGCGGCACGGAGTCCAAACTAGCCGGCATTTAAAAATGGCGCCGGCCGGCTTCATGCAAATGAAGCCCGGGAAATTCAAATCCCGGGCTTCATTTGCAACTCCATATGACTACCTTACCCCCCCTAGTTCGAACTAGGGGGGTTGTGTAGACATACCCTCAGTGAGTTGCTGTCTCAGTTAGTATTTTGCTCTGGAGCACTCAGGGTTATTTTGTTTTGAACACAGAACATAAGGCAGGCCATACTAGGTCAGACCAAAGGTCCATCTAGCTCAGTGTCTTGTCTTCCGACAGCGGCCAATGCCAGGTGCCCCAAAAGGAATGAACAGAACAGGGAATCACCAAGTGATCCCACCCCCCCAACACCCATTCCTAGTCCTGACAAACAGAGGCTAGGAACACCCTCCCTACCCATCTTGGTTAACAGCCATTGATGGATCCATCCTCTATGAATTTATTTAGTGCTTTTTGAACATTGTTAAAGTCCTGGTCTTCACATCCTGTGGCAGAGAGTTCTCACAATGCACAGTCAACCTGTGGAAGAAATACTTCCTTTTGTTTGTTTTAAACCTTATGCCTATTAATTTCAATCCCACTGAGTCAAATGGGATAACTCAGCTCTTGTTTCAGGCTATGTATAGACTCAGGCATCTACTTACTCTCTGGGCTTGTTTACCCAAATATTTTGTTCTTAGCAAGGAAAGCGGGGGCATGAATCTACTTTGCACTCCCCTGCAGCACATCATGTGTCTGTCTGGACCCCACCAAGGTCCCTAAGAGTTTGTTCAGGATATATCAAAGCACGCTAACTCTTAGTGCTCCTCAGCAGTGTCCTTATGGACAGATGGTGCGCAGCAAAGTAGATTCATGCTCCCACTTGCCACAAAGTAAGCGTTTGCATACACAAGCCCTCTCTGTGGTCTGGGATATTTTTTTGCAATCTTAAGAGCTAGACTCTGTGACCAAACTTTCAAGATATTTAGGATCCTAGAGATACACACAGACACTTAGGCTGGATTTTCAAAAGCACGTGAATGGATGCTTAACTCCTACTGATTTCAGTGAAATCCTCAAAAGTATTTGGGCACTTTTGAAAATCCTGCTAAGCATCTGTCTGCATCTTTGGGCACCTAAATACCTTTGAAAATATAGTCCCCAAGGCTTTAAAAGAAAAACATGGATTCTGGCATGCAATTCTGCTACATGGAGTGGAGTTTGCAGCAACAGAATATATGAAGTCATGATTATTGTTTCCTTTTTGAGGCTGATGTGAAAAGGTTTAAGGTTACATTCTGCTGCATCAGGCTCATTTAGGAGTCTAAATAAGTACCTACATAGGTTAGATATACCGACCTTCCTTGAGCTGCCTTCCACAGAGATGGGTTTCAAAAGGTTATTGAAGGTCATAGAGTAATTCTTCCCATTCAGATTCTTCACTAGAAGATCAAATGACCTGGAATAAAGAAAGTGTGTGGGTAATGAATGCACAGACTTTATTTCCTTATCATATACAATGTGCAAACAGATACTTAAGAGCCTCACTCTTCGCGAAACTGAACCCGCAAGCTTTGGTTGTTTGTCTAGGACGTTCTGATTCCCTACTTGTTGCAATACTAGAAGATTCCTTGGAGGAACAATTATCTAAAGGTTACAAGGAACTATAAGTTAGAAGTCCTATTTAGGATTCTTTTCATGGCTGTCTCAGACTAAATCACTTAACCTCTCAATGTTGGTTTTGTCACTCACAAAATGGGGCTACCACCAAAACTCCCATATGAGTGATGTACAGCTTAACTAGTATTAATAAAATACTTCGAGATCTTATGAAGACAGCTACATATGCATATGCCAAAGTATGACTGCACAATTTACATTTTTAATCTAGAAGACGATTCATTACAAAAGGCCCCTGAATCTCAGTGCATAGCTCTTCCAATATGCTCTTCCTGGTACAACATAACCACAGTCTGGACTCACCTCTCCGTAAAGTGGACCTGCACATTCTCAGCCGGAAGCTGCTGCACTCCATTTAACGTGATGTAAATCTTCACAAACTTATCTGACTGATCCCAACCTGAAAGGGAGAAAAATCAGACAGGTGTCTCCCAGCTCTCGGTGGTTCATGAGAGGTGTTCCTCTGAACAACCACTGCTCCCCTAAAAGACAGCATGTCTTCCACTACAGGCCATACACTACTGCAACTGCCTGCAGAGGGAAGGCGGTAGCTGCTCAGAGAATGGAGGAATGGAAGAGGAGAGGCCAGGCACAACCTTCAGGGCTCTGCTCCACTGGTCCCCATAGTGCAAAGAGCAACTTTACCACTGCAGAGAGAAGCAAGGCACCTCTGCCTGACTTAGCAGAAATAAGTGGGAAGAATTGGAGCTCGGTGGCAGATGAAGCTGCAGCTCTCTTGACGTCTTCCTTTGATGCTCACTTTCACTCAGTACTCTATTCAATTGGGGCAGGGTGCTGGACTATGGGCCCTATCTCCCCAGATCAGCATCTTGGACACTCCCCGCACATCCTTGTGCCTGGATTGTAACAGGAGAGGACCCGTTCTTCTAATTCTTGTCAAATATGAGGGAAATTTTAGAGTGAGCAGGACAAGGACCAGTAATCCCCAACCCATTAATGCTGGAGGATTTAGGGCCTCTGAAGCCTGCTGCCCTCCCCCCACACTCCAGCTGCAGGTAAACCCAAAGAGACTATTCCCTATCTCCTGCTGGTGCCAAGAAAGAATACTAGGGGACTGCTCTTCAGATTACTTTTGCTTTGGAGACAGAGCTCTTGGGATCCCTTAACCTTCCCACTTTTAAAACATAATGCCTATATTGAGCAATTATAACCACTGTCATTTAAAGACACACATAAGGTGAGTATGAGCGACAAACTGAGTTAACCACCAGTTGGCGCTAATGCCGCTTTCTGTGTCTCTATCATTCATTTTAGCTCTGTCAGAGATGAGGGTGGAAGAGCGACCCTACCATAGCTGTTGATTTTCACTGTGTATCCCACAGTTGGCGGTTTCTCTTCCTCCATAGCCTCTTCTTTTATCTTGATTGCTGGCAGATTCTTGATTTCCATCTCTAGCTTGTATTTTTCTGCTATCAAGATATCATAAACTCTTTTCCTAGTGGCTTTTTTCATTAGCTCTTTCACCTCTTCCAAGTCTTTCTCCAGCTGGGTTTAAGAACAGAAAACTATGTATGTACATTAGACATATGCCTCTATCTGAGGTTTACTGCTGAGCCCATTCAATCATCTAAGTAACAAGAAACAGGAGATGGATTAGACAACTGAACAGGTCTTGTCCATCCCAGCCCCATGGACTGCTACCTACCATGTTTTGTTCAGTCTAATATTAAGTACTGCAAAGAACAATAACACCACCACTTCCCTATTCCACAGTCTGCAATTTTTCCCCAATGTTTAGTTTGCTTTTTCCCTCTAAAAACTCCGAACAGATATTTTAAGTGTTTAAGTGGGGCAGAGATTCTTCTTCTGTGTTTGTACAGTGCTCTAGCATAACTGGATCCTGGCTCATGTCTGGGGCTCTGATGAAATAAGAGCAACATATAAGCTCCCATTCTAGATCAGACCACTGGCTCTTCAAGCCCAGTGGCCAGTGCCAGAGCTGCAGGGAGGAGCGTTCAGAACGGGGTAATTTGGGGAAAATCCACCCATCTTCTCTTTCTGGTTGTCGAGTACATCCCTGACCATTCTGGCCAATAGCCATAGATAGCCTCCCTCTGTGAATTTGTCTAATTCTTTTTTTAATCCAGTTATAGTTTTGGTTATCACAAAATCCCATGACAACCAGTTCCTCAGATTAATTGTATGGTTATATAAATAAGTATGCCCTCTTGTTTGTATTAAACCTGCTGCCTGTTAATTTTATTGGTTGACTCCCTTGGTTTTTGCATTATATACTGTATTTTCCGGCATATAAGGCGACTGGGCGTATAAGACGACCCCCTAATTTTTTAGTTAAAAGATAAGTTTTCGTCTTATACTCGCCGTATAAGACTACCCCCCCTTAAGAGGCCAACCGGCAGCACCCCAGCGCCCCTCCGCCTCCCCGGCTTTGCTCCGGGTGTCCCTGGTCTGCTGGAGACGGTCCCCAGCAGACCAGGGGCACCGGGAGCAAAGCCGAAGCAGCCCCACTGCCGGAGCCCCTCCACGGCTTTGCTCTGCGTCTTCCTGGGCTGCAGACCAGGGAGACGCGGAGCAGCTTTTCTCGCCCCCCAGCACACCAGGGGCGGGGGGGCGCGAGATGGCTTTGCTCCGGGTGTCCCTGGTCTGCTGGGGACGGTCCCCGCGGACCAGGGAGACGCGGAGCAGCTTTTCTCGCCCCGGAGTACACGGGCGGCGGGACCGCGAGGTCCCGCAGTCTGTGTCCTCCGGGGCGAGAAAAGCCCCGTTCTTACCTGCAAGTCGGGGACTGCCTGTATACCCGGCGTATAAGACGACCCCCGATTTTTGGGGGATGTTTTTTAGCATAAAAAGTCATCTTATACGCCGGAAAATACGGTACTCAAGAGTAAATAGCATTCTATTCACTTTTCCCACACCGTTCATGATTAAGTGTGTCTATCATATTCCCACTTGTCTCTTTTCTAAGCTGAAAAGCCATCATTCTCTTAGTATGTCATTGTATAGAAGACATATCATGACTATCATAATTTTTGGTCTCCTTTTCCAGTTCCAATATATCCTTTTTTAATATGGGGGTGACCAGAACTAGACACAATATTCAAGGGATAAATACACCATGGATGTATGCAGTGGCATAAAAAAAAATAACCAACCTACTGGAGAATAGTTCCCTCAGTTCTAAGAATTTCACAGGTGTGACATTCCCCAGCAACAATTACAGTGCTTTGAGATGCAAGACAGGCAATATTCAGTCTTGGATCAGCAACAGTGTAGTCCTTTCAAAGCTAGCATGGAACTTTGTGCCATTAGAGGTGGAAAAACTGACAGCTTCTTCCACCGGGATACACAGTAAGTGTTCTCTTGCTGGTAGGTTCTGAAGGATCAGATCTTAAACTACAAACACTTTACTCTCCATGACAATTAAGGCCTTGTCTACATTATGCCGTGGATCGACACTTTTGCAATTGATTCACCAGACGTTGATTTATCGTGTCTAAATCAATCTCTGAGCATGTGCCTGTCAACAATGGTACTCCAAGACAAGAACAGTAGCCAGTGTCAATGGGACAGCAGCCCTGCTGACCTTACTGCACACAAGATGCCATAGTGAATATGTCGACTTCAGCTATGCTATTTATGTAGCTGTTTACATAGCTGAAGGAGACAGATGGTGCTGGTGAGCATAGACAAGACCTTAGATTGTAACTAATCACCTCAAATCACATTCCAAAATTTTAGTTTCCACTTCGAGCTAAAGACAAGAGGAATCAATATGTCCACCCCAATACATGTAATACTGGTCCATGAAGCATCAATTAAGTTGATACAGAAGTAGGGATGTAAAGGAGTAGTCGACAGGATAGTCGACTAGTTGCCAAGGAGGAGAGGAAGGAGGGTACCTGAAAGCAGCAGCACCGCACTGAGCCCAGGGTCAGCTGGGGGGTGACCCGGGGCTCAGTGCTGCCGCTTTGCAATGCGGGGCAGAGCCCAGGATCAGCTGGGGAGTCCCCAGCTGACCCTGAGCTCCGCCTGGCATGCCAGCTTTGAAATGTACACAAGTCCCCAGTGGGAGCTCTTGTGCATTTCAAAATAGCAGCATAGCACGGAGCCTGGGGCCAGCGCAGGACTTGAGTCCCCCACTGACCCTGGGCTCCAAGCAGGCGCTTCCATTTTGAAATGCACAAGAGCCCCCGCTGGGGCTCTTGTACATTTCAAAGGTGGAAAGCGGAAGTGCTTATCGACTAGTCAAGTAGTCGATGGAAATTACTCAACTAATAAATTAATTGCTACTTAACATCCCTATACAGAAGTACATATTCCCCTGCAAAGAAGTCTTTCACCTACTCAAAGCAGTGACTCCTACCTCTTTTGGTTGAGCTAAGGGAAGAGACAAGAATAACTTCCTCATGTCCTTTTCAAAATGCTCTATCATCTGCTGTATGTTAATCAAAAACCATAGATAAGTATAGCAACTAAACCAGAGGTAAGCTGATTAGAAATAACTTGTTAGTCAACCCCAGAACTGACCAAAGATCAATTGCAACTGATAACTGTCTGTTATCCTAAGAAATTCAAACCAACTAGCTTTCATCCCAAATTTAAAGATCTATATCTGTCTGTTTTATATATCAAAGGCAATCACTCTTTGTACATGTTTCATGTATTCCTTCACATAGTGTAAGACCTGAAAGATGTGAAATGAAATATTAAATATAATCAAAGAATGCATGGCCTATGTCCACTACATTTTGAGGAACTGTGATGGTGTCCATACCCTTCACGGGCCGTGAAAGAGATAAGGGCTGAGACGCCAACCTATAGAGAGTGGGCTAGGATTAACTGAAAATGAAACCCAGGTGGGGACAAGCCACTCTAAAGGCAGGAAGCTGAGAGCAGAAAGGAGCTGCTTATAGGAAGTGAAGAAGTCTGGAAGTAGAAGGATAAGAGGGGACCCCATTCCTCAGAAAGAGAGCTGGCCCTGGGATCCTCTTCTGTGTGAGGAAGTCTGACAAGAGGCCAGAAAAGGGACTAAACAGCCTCTTGAGTGGAACAAGCTCCAATGGGAAGCCCTGGTAGAGAGAGAGTCAGGATTTGGTGTGCCAAGGAGCCCAGGGAGGCACTCAGTTGAGGAATAGAGTGGCAGGGATGAGAGGTCAAACTCGAAGGCAAACTGGTTTAAATGTGCGTATTTTTAATTTGGGATTTTGGGGTGGGGTCCAAGGGGAATCCTAACCTCTGAGAGAGCCCAGAGGGGAAAAAAGTATGAGGACCATGGGGCCCAGAAGAGAGGCCCCCGCACAAAAGGATCATTTGCAGTAAACTGTTTTCTGTTGGACTTTGTTACAGGGCGTGCCTGCTATAAGTCACCCAGGTATGCATCCGTTCTGCACTGAAGTTGCTGATGGTTGTAGGAGCTGATATGTTATAAGCTCTCCCATTCCCTGCTCTGAAGGCGTGCAAACCCCTCCCCCACCACAATTTGCACAAATGGAAGTCAGCTGCAGGAAAAAGATTCCCCACTCTAAGTTGTTTTGCTATAAGTCCAAGGGTTTTTTGGGGAATGTACCTTGGACTCATAGTGAGGACAGCCAGTACCCTAGAATGGGGTGGTCTAGGTTACAGAAAGAAACAGACGACTAAAGCAGCCATCAGCAAGAGGTGCAAAATGCAGAGAAACACACAACACGTTTCACTTTACCAATTAGTGACAAAAATGGTATGGAATTTTCTCTCTCTCAGGCCAGATCTATGCCAGACCTGGAAGTGTGGCTTAAGGTATGTAACTCCAGCTATGCAGAATATGTAACTGGAGTCAGTTCACCTTAAGCTGAGCTTGGCAGCATCCCCAAAGCAGGAGGCTGATGAGAGCAAATGCCCCAGTTTGCTTCCCTTACTACTTGAAATACAAGGAATACTGGATGCCAGTGGAGTGCCCTCTGAGTTCCATTTAGTGAGTCTTAACTAGATTATCTAAATCAAACTCCAGAAGATCAAGCACAGCAGCCCACTATGGACACAGGCTGCTCCAGCCAGGTCACCTGAGCAACCCCTGCCTGCAGGACACTCGGGCCCACGACAAGCAGAGGCTGCACTGGAGCAACCCGTTTCCACCATAGGGTGTCCCCTGAAGCAGCTCCCTGCTGGTAGCAGGCAGGAGCTGCTCCAGCCCCACTGGTTAAACCTTCCCATCCCTTCTGTGTATGGCCTATAAATACAGACTGAACCTCTCTAGTCCGGAACCATTGGGACCTGACCAGTGCCAAACCAGAGAATTTGCTGAACCATGAGAGGTCAATACCGTCTAGATTCATTATAAAACATTTCCACTGCTTACTGGGCTCTCAGAAGACTTTTAGGGGTAGATTAGCGCTAAAAAAACAGCACAGAACACAGAGAGTCAGGACTCATGGCTGTAAAACTTTATAGAATGCAGAAAACTTGGGGCTGTTGCTACATTTCAAAGGCAAAAGTGCTGGTCCCCTGCTCCCTACAGTGTTTAAAAGCGGTAGCGCCACATGGAGCCCAGGGTCCCCAGCTGACCCCAGGCTTCACATGACGCTGCTGCTTTGAAATACCGCAGGGAGCCCGGCCTCAGGATCCACATGGCATTTCAAAACAGCAGTGCCACATGACGCCTGGGGTTAGCGCAGGAGTCCTCAGGCTCCATGGGGCACTGCTGCTTTGAAGCCCATTCTCTTGCCCCACCCCATTGCTGCCTCTTTCTTACAAAGGTAGGGGGCTGGGGTGGAAGAGTGACTAGCAGACTAGGGTGTCAACTATCTGATAAGCATTTGCTTATCAGATAGTCGACTATTCAACTAGTCATTCACATTGCTACTGGATATCACTGGCCAGAGAGAAACTGAGAACTGAAATCCAAGAGCCTCTCTCAAATGGACAATAAAAACTGTGTATGCGTGTGGTCCTGCCTGCCCCCAACAAACCCTGGAACAGCATATATGAACTGAAATTACCCTGTGGAACACCAGAGTTTAGCAGAATCCAAAAAAGCAGCAGCAAAATTCAGAAGGTGCACTGATGCTTGGACCAACTGCAGGAACAGATGCCTCTCTCCAAGTTAACAAAATGGAGAGATGGTGAGACTCATTCCAAAGATGGTAGTTTAATTTTGTTTTGATTTTAATGTAAATAACTGCAAGTTATATTGGGTCTGCACTCTCCTTAAGTAACCATATTTTGGATTTTAACTAAGCAATGACAAATGTATGTTTCTCCTTTGGAAGTCTAGGCATATTGGTTTAAGAGAAGTTCAAACAATAACTTATCAATTTCTTTTGATGTTTTAAACCATTCCAATTCAAACCAAACATTGAAGAGACCAGGATCCATATTCATAACAGATCCTTTTTTGGAAAATTAAAGTATAATAAATGCACTAGCGATATTACAGAATTGATGTCTGGTGGCAAGAAAGAAATCTCAGTGATTCCTGTTATTCAGTAGTATAACTGCTTGGCCTCAATACAGTTCTGTCATCTGCTTGCAAGACATTACATTGTAGTCGGTACATTCCTACAATATTCTCTTTCCAAATGCAATAATAGGGTAGATTACCAATCTATGTGGCTCTTGAGAAGGTTATCCTAATAAAATTCCATTCCAATATTGACTAACATTTATCAAATTGGCAAATCTATTGTCTTATATTTTAGATTTAAAACATGACACCTGAGCAAGCTAATATAAAATGGATCCATATTCACACTTATGTGGCTCTGGTTCTTCAGCATAATCCTGGTTCTTATGGCTTCAAATTAGGTTACATCCAGCCCTTATTATTTCAGGGATCCCATGGCCTTTCAGCCATCTCAGGCCCAGAAGTGACAAAAGGATGCTGGGCCTTAAAGACTATTGGTGGCATGATCTGATCTTTTATTGTGGGCACCTGCAGAAGGCATCACACCAGCCTTCAGCTCAAGGTGTTTTGAGTTCACACCCAAAACTGTGCACTTGCTTTCTTCATCTTCTTAGCATTATTGTCCGTAGTCTTGTTCCCACCCATCCTCCTAGGTAAGACAATTCAGTGTCTTCAAGAAATGTCTGTGCAGCACCATAGGTAAATCACTTAACATTGATTTGATAACGATTCCTTACCCAATTTCATCATTAGGAGGACCATCTTTAAATGGCTGACTGCATTTCAGATTGCTATGGCCTGGCTGACTTGAATATTAACAATCTCCAGGCTTATTCGGTCTGAGACAAGGAGAAGCAGGGCTCTACTGATTACCTCAGTGATGTTTCTGTTGCAGACTTATGCACAGCAGCCTTTCCTGCCTGTTTTTTGCTTCATACAGGTACAGAGAACTTTAACTTAGATTCTGCCTTTAGGGAGGAATCCTGCTTTGTTGTCTGTCTGGCAGATCCTCCTTCCAAAATTAGGAATCCCAAGATCTCTTGCTTCCTAGGATCCTCCTCCTCCCACCATGTCTCTTATTCAGTCTAGGGCCAACAACAAATTAAGTACAATTAGACAAGCATAGTTATGCCAGTAATCCCCCCTCCCCCCCAGTCAGGAAATGAATGGAAAGGTTTAAGTGCAACTGTAAAGCGCTATAGTAGCAGGAGTCCACACATTCCTATCAGCTACAACTACTCGGCTGTATCTAGACTGGCCACTTTTTCCGGAAAAAGCAAGCGCTTTTCCGGAAAAACTTGCCAGCTGTCTACACTGGCCACTTGAATTTCCGCAAAAGCACTGACGATCTCATGTAAGCCTGTCAGTGCTTTTGTGGAAATATTATGCTGCTCCCGTTCGGGCAAAAGTCTTTTTCCAAAAAACTTTTGCACAAAAGGGCCAGTGTAGACAGCAGAGATTTGTTTGCCGCAAAAAAGCCCTGATCGTGAAAATGGCAATCGGGGCTTTTTTGCAGAAAAGCGCGTGTAGATTGGCCACGGACGCTTTTCCGTAAAAAGTTTACATACCCAGTATCTTGTGAAGAACTTGTCACCTCAGCACAGGGTCCCGGGGGAAAACTTTCCCGCGAAAAGCATTCCCGGAAAATCATGCCAGTGTAGACGTAGCCCTCCTGTGGGCTTAGAAAAACATCTTGACCATCAGGGATTACACTTATTGCATGGCAAGGAGCAGAGAGCAGAAGGGCAGGATAATTCCGGCCGGGAAACACAGGACAGTTCAGCACTGCACTTCCTGCTCCCCCAGTATTTTGAGAAGGCAGAGGGGGGCGAGGTGCGGGGGCGATGGCCGAGGGAAGAGGGACGGAAGGTGAAGAGGCAATGGGCAGGCAGCTGCGCTAAGGGCCCCCCCAGCTATAACGGTTACAGCCAGGGCTGGGCGCGGCGGGCCCCCAGGGGCTCAGGCCTCGCCTCCCCGGCTC